TAAAGCCTAATCGAGTCTTGAAAACAAGATGTTAATGTTTATTATATTGTGTGAAATTTATATACTGCGTATGTAGTCCCCCCGCGACGCTGATGGATTTTCAGCATTGACGCATACATATTCACTACCGCAGTAATATCACTTTAGTTAAATTGAGAATCAATTTAACCACTTTTTGATGCCTATAGCATCTTATTAGATCTTAATAATATGTTGGAAGACATATATTAAAATTTAATAATAAATTAATAATTTAAACTCAGAGAAGCTGAGATTGTGAAGAATATCACGAGTTGGCGTTTCGTCCCGGATAATAAATATTATTATCTTTCATTATATTTTTTTTTATTATTCGAAAATTGATTTTACATATCAGGAACTCTAGGCAATCGCAAATTGAAGCTATTAAGCCGCTCAGAATTATTCCACCTCAAAATTCGATAAAAAGTTAGCACCCCATTTTTAAAAAATGTAAAAAAATTGTTTATTGAGCGGAACTCTTGTCATTAACTATAGGGAACTCTTCGTCTCGACAAAGGAAGTGGGAACTCTAATCAGAACTCCTGAGTACTATAGTTGGTGTGCTAACTTAACATACCCATTAAAACCATAGCTCTTTAATTCTTCAGCTTCAGCAATTATTCATTATGATGCTATGATCGAATAGTGTTGTATATTTTAGAAGATAATTTTAATATTTTAAATAAAAAAATATATAAATAGTTAAAGGCTCATCGAAATTCATTAATAAAAGATAATGAGCTACAAGCCAAAATGGATATAGATGCTCATATTAGTATATAAATGTATTGAATGAAATGTAATAGTAACAAACGTTTCGAGTTAAGTTATCTTGTAAAGTTACCTAAATAATACATTAGTCATATTATAAATAAATAAATATATTTATTTATAATATGACTAATGTATTATTTAGTTAATTATAATTAACTTAATTATGTTATTTATTTTAAATATGTTAATTATATTTATTTATATAATTAATTTATACATTTATCGGATAACCTTATATTGAAAAAATTACTTAAGGTTCACTCTGAAACTTTCAAAAAAATTGAAAAATTTTTTATTGCTTCAATCGATAGTTTGTGGTCTTAAGAATGTAAATTTTTTAATCCGAATGCAAAATTCCAAATATTAATAAAGATACAATCAATTATGTGATATCAAAATAACGTTGACTTAAAACTTAAAATCTCGTTTTTTTCAAAATGGTGTTTTTAAAAACGGTGGACACCAAAATTACTACAAATTTCATCCAAATGCTTTGAAATTTTACTGAATTATTGTCAATTGAATTATCTAAAGAAATACCTTTGGTTTTTGCGATAATAACTTATATACTTTTTTTGTAATCCATATTTTTATGTCAAATTTTTACGTGAAAATTGAATCTCTTTTTAAATGCACCATTTTCACATTTTTTGATATTTTTCAATTCTGCCAGGTATTTCTCTAGCAAATTTCATGCAGATTACAAATAAACTTTTTTTGTGGCTACAGCATACTTTGGACCTATTCTACTGTCCATCGCGGATCACCTTCATCACGAGCAGGCCTTCAAAAAACATGTTGCAGCGCGGCTGCATTTTTTTTATAATTATTGACAAATTGACAATTTTGTACACCAGAGTACAAGCAACAAATATATATAAAAAGATTCTTTGTATCATGTATAGTTTTTTAATTATTTTATCTCCCAAAAAGTAAGGTATGATTTTAAGGCCTCCGAGGTGTGAACTAATCCCTTAATACTCGTTTATTACTTCAGTTACATATTTTATTCAATACCTTTATAAATATAAGTATCTACATCCAGCTTAACTTATAGTTCATTATACTTCTAATCATTTAATATTTGTATTGTGTAGCATACGTATATTTATTTATACATTTATATAAAGTCTCTGTATTGTGAGGTAAATTTTCAATTCCAGAGCGTATATGGACTCACAGAAACAACAGCTATAGTATTTCAATCGATACGTGGAGAAGATAAACATCTTGCTGAGACTACTGTTGGTCATTTGGCGAACCATACTGAAGCGATGGTATATGTCAATTCTTTATTCTGAAAATAGATTCCTCTTTAATTTTGAATTAAAAAATTTTATATTTATATTATATTTTTTATGTATATCTCTACTCTGCCGAGTAGATCGTTGATGAAAATGGTGTGGCTGTCCCTTTTGGAGAACCTGGCGAACTTTGGCTTCGCGGTTACTGCACAATGTTAGGTTACTGGAACGACGAAGAAAATACGAAAAAAACTTTGACGAAAGACGGCTGGTTGAAAACGGGCGACCAATTTATCTTGCGGAAAGATGGATACGCTACTATAGTCGGAAGACTCAAAGATATGCTTATTCGGGGAGGTGAAAATATTTTCCCTAAGGTGAGCATCATGATTCATAATGTACGATTTATATTATTCATTCACTTAATACACCTTATTTTTTAGTAAAGAGTCGATTAAAAATATTTAAAAAATTGATGACATATTTTATAAGTTATTTTTGCAAAATAGCAGTATCTCAAGTAGAATACATATAGCTTCAAAATGACATTAAAGTAAATTGTGAAGGACCAAAAAGTGACTTTTAATAATAATTTTAAAGCTATTTTCATGCCATTTTAATGTTATAATAATTTTTTGTTTAACTTAGAATTTAAATTTCAAAGAGAGATTAATTCCTGTTACTATCCATATGACTATTTCGAACAATTTATATATGTAATTTTGACTTTAAGATTTCATTTACTGAAACAATAAATTAAAAATGCATAAACAATTTTTTAAGATTCAATTCAAAGGCTTCTTTACCAACTTCAAATTTTATTGTAGGAAATTGAAGACTTTCTGATGATGCATCCTAAAATAATACAGGCACAAATTATAGGAGCATATGACGAGGTGTATGGAGAAGAGATTTGTGCGTGTATTCAACTTCGCAACGGTGCGACCATGACAAAGAATGAATTAACGGATTATTGTAAAGGCAAAATAGCGCACTTTAAAATACCGCGCTATGTACAGTTTGTAAATGAATATCCAAAGACTAACACCGGAAAAATTCAGAAATTTCGTCTAAGGGAACAAATGGAAGATAATGGTGTAATACCAAAAACTCCGAAACTTTCGTAATAAATATAATAATAACAGACTTTGAAAGTGAGAAGGAATTAAAAATTAGATTTATCGTGAGATTTAAGTAAGAAATTAATTAAGGAATTAATTGTCAAAACTAGGAATTATATATATCAATTGTGTATTATAATGTTAGGAAAAAATACTATTGTCAACGTTGTATATTTATAGACATATTTTTAATCTTCTACGATCGCGCGGCATGTCGAAATGTACATAGCCATTTAGTTAAAATAAATAATTCAAATAATCATTTTTAAACATTAATAAGAAACTTCTATTTTTTATACTATTAATTAATGGAGAAATTATACTTGATTAAAATATTTAACATTAATGATATGTTAGTTAATTACAATAGAATTGTATAATATATTTACACACGTATAAAGAATACAATAATTCACATTGTATACAATGTAAACCAATTATATCCCTAGAAAAATTTAATATTGTAAAAATATTAAATAACATTTAATATTTATTCTAAAAAAGACCTTAAACTTTTTTCTATATTTTAGAAAATTTCATCAAAAATTATATACAATAAGAAATCTTAGAAATCTTATAAATATTTCACAGTTCACGTATATTCAATTTAATAATTTGTACATTTTACATAGCTTATTGTACTGTATACATAAAAAAGGTTTGCGTAAACTTACATTTCATGTAAATGTAATCTTGGGCTACATTCTGAAATATCCTTTCCAAGGAAAATTTTATTCGACGTGATATAAATATACATGTATAATAATATTTCGAATAAAATTTTCCTCGAAGAAAAGGGTTTTGAAATACAGCCTTGAAGTATACGGCACAACCTTGAATTATAATTCACTGTATTGACAATACCCTGTTGGTAAAACAGTATTTTGATGTATTCATGGTTGTGATTGTACTCGATGTATTACCGGATATTTAAAAGCGGAAAGATTAATTTTTTCTTGACACAGTTGTGACGTACGTTTGAATTAGAAGATTTTCAAGCCATGGCTGAATATCTGGCGTCAATTTTCGGGACTGAAAAAGACAAGTAAGCGCCAAATCACGTTTTATGTCGCTGGTTTACACGAAATAGGTTATGATCCTAATGTAAACTTCATTTATTTCTCTTGCAGAGTCAATTGCTCGTTTTATTTCAAGATAGGCGCTTGTCGACATGGAGATCGATGTTCGCGAATTCACAACAAGCCAACTTTTAGTCAGGTAAGACAGCTTATTTTTTTACATATTTTTATGTTTATAATTATATTAATTTGCATATCCCAGTGTTCGTATGTATAAGGCTTTTTGTAAACAACATATTCATATCTTAGCATTAAGATTGCCAAACTTGTCAGAAGTATATTACTCGTTACTTTGCCACGATTGTGGTAATTTTGTAAGAAATTGTATCAGTATTTCTGTTTTGAATTTGAACACATTAAATTTCAACACAAATAAATTGTTTAAATGGACCTAAAAAATTAATAGAATTCATTTTATTATCACGTGATACATCGTTTATACAAAGTCTGTGTTCTTCAGACGTGTCTACTGCAGAATCTTTATGTAAATCCTCAAAATTCTGCGAAAAGCGCAGATGGATCTCACTGTAAGTACACTACTGTATTCAACCTCAATGAGAGTATTATGTACTGTACGAGATGAGCATTATGCAGTTCGGAACATATTTTACGACAGTGGTTGCAAACGTATCCGACGAAGAGATGCAAGAGCATTATGACAATTTTTTCGAGGACGTTTTCATCGAGTGCGAGGACAAGTATGGCGAGATTGAAGAAATGAACGTGTGTGACAATCTTGGCGACCACTTGGTTGGAAACGTTTATATTAAATTCCGCAGAGAGGAAGATGCTGAGAGGGCGGTCAATGACTTAAATAATCGTTGGTTCGGTGGCAGACCGGTTTATGCCGAGCTTTCGCCTGTTACCGATTTCCGTGAGGCCTGCTGTCGTCAATACGAAATGGGGTAATTGTGAGCTAATATGATTTACAGAACGTAATAAATAAGCACGAAATTGTACACGAGAATTGTGTGCGTTTAGCGAGTGCACGCGGTCCGGATTTTGCAACTTCATGCACTTGAAGCCGATCTCCCGGGATCTCCGCCGATATTTGTACAGCCGAAAGAAGAGCAAGGGTCGATCGAGATCACGATCGAGGTCGCGAGGTCGCGAACGCAGGAGAAGGTCCCGATCTCGAGATAGAAGATCCAGATCTAAAGATCGACGTAAGGGAAGAGACGAGAAGGGCAGAGACGGTCGATCCGGTCGCTATTAATAAATTTTATTCTTACACTTATATTTAAATTTAGTTTCTTGTTACTGTATTGAATTCTGTTCATCCCAGTTTTCCGTTTGATTCTTAATATTTGAAGAAATTTAACAAAACTATTTCTTTATTATTAAACGAATAATAGGTTAGAAGTTTATATAAATTTTATATAAAGTTTATATAAATTTTATATAAAGTTTATATAAATTTAATTTTGAATTTTTTTCTTCAATAATTTATCATCACTGTTCAGTGTCGAATTAGTGTAGTATTGTGACTCGAGTTCTGTAGTAATGATGTAGACGGCAGCACTGATTCACTGAGGTCTAAAAAAAAATTAAGTATTGTATTTTTATAATATATATAAAATGTAGTTTCTTATGTATGCATATCCTTTAAAATAGTTAATATGTATTCAAGTTTTCGTTTTTGCATTAAAATATTGAGAAAAATATTTTGATGGTGTCCTGATTCCCCCCTCTCTCTCTTTTCTATTTCAAAAATAGATATAGAATAGTAAAACTAAAATATATATATTTATTATAAATGTGATTAATTACTCAATTTATGCACATTTACTTATAGTTTTTTATTTTTTAAACGAGCGTAATGAAGTTTTAAAATCATAATGCATTTCTCAATGAAATAATTGTACATTTAACATTTCGATAATTATTTTGGAAATAGCGTTTAATTCTAAAATAAAAACAGGGATTTATATAAATTTATATAAAAATTCTTTTTTATCGAATTTTCTTTCTCAATATTTTCTACTAGAAGCTTGTACGTTTACCACAAGATGTCACTGGTAGTATCTTGTGTCTTAAAATTTTATTTTCTATACTATTACTACATAAATTATCATTTCAGATGTGAATTGTTGTTTGTGAAACAGCATTTGTTTACAAAAGTCAATTTGTTTAAGAAAGAATAATTTATATAAATCACAAAATGTATAATTAAAAATGTATATTTAAAAATATACAGATTTCTGAGAAGTATATTATAAAGATATGTCATATTATATTCAACTGCAATAAGATTCTTGCATAATTGTTATGTATATCCAATATATAAACTTGTAATAAGATAAACAAATTTCTGGAGTAACTTCTAGCATAAATGATAGATTTTCTTTTCTAATAGTAATAGCTTACAATCTTCGCGCGGTGAAGCTATTCGCGAGCCAAGTCTTTATTCCTTTTTATTCTTATTTTAATCGGTACCCAAGCATATTTCGTTGTCTCGTGCCGACCAACTGTTGCTCAACAAGTTGTTGTTGAAAGATGACGCGAAGGTGCGACGGGCGCGCGCGCAGCCAAGCAAGAATAGCAAGAAAAAAAATTAAAAGGGAGTTGAAAAAAGAAGGAAAAAAGGAAATAAAAAAAAAACTGCAGCGGGAAGAGAGGAAGCGAGAGAAGGAGAAAGCACGCACGGCTTTCAAGGAGAATCACGTCTCTCCTCGAAATCGGTTCATCCGAACCGGGCACGTGTTTCGGCTGGGCCTAATTGGCGGGACTCTTGGGGCCTCTCTTGCTTCGCTTCAAGACTCCGAACGGGCGTGCATTACCGCAGCAGATGGTGGTCGTGATTGCAGCTGCCTCCGACGAACACCTGCCTTCTTCTTTGGACGGCTATCGGAATACCGATGCCCGTTTTCTTCGTTGTCACGCACTCACTATGCCCATCGTTTATCTCTCGCTTTCGAGATTTATCTCCATCGGTTTTACGCTATCGCCCTTTAGTTTAAGAGAAAAAAAAATAATCGCGACCAGAAAAATCAATATGCGATGAATCGTAGCCGATTTTATTAATGTTTAACACATTCGTACTGAGAAAAACGCCCGCGATGTTTACATTCTGCCGTACTACGGCTATATAAAACATGAGAGATTCCGTTAAACATGTACATAATTATTCGTTTGCGTCCATACGTGGAATTCGATTATGGATGAGCTGTAAATGCATCGCGGTCGTCTGTCATGGTTTAGCTATAATATGTTACAGCGAATACGGTGTTTTTCAGATATTTCCATATATTTTTGTAACGTCATACATTAAATAAAACGTCCGTAAATGTTATCGCACTTCCAAGTGATTTCAATGTGAATCTATAAAAAAATATATATTCCTGTATACTGAATATATACCGTAACAAATTTTATATTGTTGAAAATTTACGGTTGGATTTTCTTTGATCATGCGGTTGAAAATTTTTTAACAATGGAAAAGGCTCGATTTTCATTTAATAAAACAATTGACAGCGCCATTTCTCGAAAATAATACAATAATAAAATTGTGTTATATAGTTTTTAAAATTCTCTTCTTTAAAATCATATATCTATAAGTAATAAATGAAAAAGATTTCTAAATGTAATAAACATACTTATGAATCTGGAAAGATAAAGATTTATAAATTGATATCCATAAATTGATTTCAATTGGAGTTAATTAGTTCTTAGTTAATTCCAATTTAATAATTCCGATATTGAATCGAAATTCTGTCAACTAAATGTTCTTTTCTCCGTGAGAAATTTACTCAGTCGCGCGTGATACTTGAGATTTCATGAAAGTACAGAAATATTCTCGAGAACGTCGATACGCGGGATTGCAAATTGAAAGCTGAGTTAGAGCTGAGCATGATAGTCCATCCAAGAGTATACCATAATTAATCCTGGCAATCCGCCAGAACATCCTCGTCACAAAGGAAAGACTCGTTTCTGTATACCAGACGATGAGGCAAGAGAAAAAAAGGAGGGAAGAGAGAGAGAGAGAGAGAGAGAGAGAGAGAGAGAGAGAGAGAGAGGGGGGGGGGGG